GATTTCAGGAAAGTCCGCAGCATTAGCTAAGACAGGCTGTTTGTATGGAAAAGCCAGTAGAAATGGTTTGGGTGGGCCTGAAAGTTGGGTTGACCCAAATCTTAGGGAATCACCAGGGTGTGGTAAACGGTGTTAGCTAGACTGATGGAGACTCAGGTGTTCATCTGCATGTGAAGGCTTGGTGGTGGAAGACCTCAACAAAGGAACAATGGCACCTTCCATCAATTCTGTCTGGGAGAAAGCTGCTCCTCCAGCCCTCGTCCTGAAGCCAGACAATTCAGTTCCTCCTGTATGTCCCTGGTGCCTTTTGAGGTAAGTCCATGGGCGGGCCCTTTCAGAGGAATGCCTAGGACTCTGGCTGCCCTCTGTCTCACCCAGCCACACTCTCCCCTGATTTTCACAGCTAGAAGTTATGGGGACTGCTCTCCCTGGCACTGGGACCCTTGTCTGGGGAGTCCAGTGTGGGCCTTGGATCCTTTGTTCCTCAGCGGGAAACTCCACAGCAGAGATATTCCTCCTGATTTTTAATTGCCGCCAGCATGTTCTGGGTCTCTGCCCCTCCTACCAGTATTGAGATGTCTTTGTCTGTATATCCTTAGTTATAGGACTTCTTTTCAGCTAGACTTCAGGCGGTTCTCAATGATGGTTGTTCTGTAGTTTAGTTAATAATTTTGAAACATCTAATGAATATTCTAATATCCATATTATAATATATGTGTGAATATATATTCACACATATAGTATCAGCAAACACAGTTTCCGAGGCATGTATGGCAAAATGTACTAAAAAAAAGTTAAAAAAACAAACAGATTGGGAGAAAAATATTACACACACACACACACACACACACACACACGCACTAAGAACACTATCTATCTATCATATAAAGAACATATCATATAAGAACACTATCATATAAAGCACTATAATTCAACCAAGAAAAGACAACCTAATGTGAAAATATGGCAAAGGATATGATGAAGAAATTCTTAGCAGAAGAAATGTGATGCTTAGCCTCACTCATAATTATAGAATTGTCAATAAACAAAAGTGAGATACCATATTTTTGTCTTTAGGTGGTAAAATATTTAATACAGTAATACCTTGGTTTGCGAGCATAATTCATTCTGGAAACAAACTACTTATATTGCAAGACATCACTCATTTACTCAGTTAAAATGTATTAGAAATGTTTGCTCGTCTTGCAGAACACTTGCAAACCAAGTTACTCACAATTCAAGGCTTTACTGTACTTCATAATATCCAGGGTATGCAAGGAAAATGTCGTACTATGCTGGTATATAAAGATGTTTTAAAAGATAATTTAGTGTTATCTATACAAATAAATTTGCTTATACCTGTTTTCCATTAATTTTACTTCTAAAAATGTCTTGCAGAAATTGAAAGGTGTGTAAGATTATATCTTATTCACCAATTCTAAACACCACTGATTGAAAAATGAATCCCAATTTCAGAGATAATAAAATGTGAAAATAAGTATACCCTAGAAGTGCTGAAATGGCAGTATTATAAAGGTGTTCATTGCAGCATTGTTTAAAAAGTTAAAATTGATTGCTAATACTGAATTTTAAGTTGCCATTAAAAGACTAAAGATCTAGGGCCGGCTGAGTGGCGTGTTGGTTAAGAGCTGGCTTGGGATGCCAGCTCTGAGCAGCAGAGGCCCGGTTTGGATCCCACATTAGGGCCAGTGACACTGCCCTCTACAGCTAAGATGCTGAACAACAGCTCAACCTGGAGCTGCGCTGCCGTGAGTCATTGGCAACGGTGTAGGCTGCAGCCCCTGCTGCAGTGGGCTGCCATAAGCTATCATTTGAGGCCGGAAGCCAGTGTGAGTGGCTGGCAGCTGGTGTGAGCTGCCAAGAGCCGCTGTGAGCAGCGACCAGAAGCCCAGCGACCAATCTGCCTCATCTGGGAAGAGTGCAATGATAACACCAACATGGGCCAGTGAAGCAACGTCCTCCACAGCTAGACTGAAGAACAAAAGGAGAGCAACTTGTCTGTTCCCCTTCCCTTGATACCCCAACGCTGTTCCCCTCCCCCAAGTCCCCAATAAAATCTAAAAAAAAAAAAAAAAGACCAGAGATATAATATACTGACATGGAAACATGGCCACTATTGTTAAGTGAAAAATGAATTTCAAAAGAATATTTTTAATATGATTCTACTTCTATAGGAAAAAGTATATTTATAGCTTCATTAAAAAAAATGTGGTAGGATAAACTCCAAACAGTGGCAACCCCTTGGAAATAAGGTTGGCCTGGGGTTAAAGTATATGTTTTCCTTTTACATTATGCATATATATATATATATATATATATATATATATATATATATATATTATTACAAAGATCACATTATTTTTGCAAAACAAACAAAAATCTCTTTATATTTGAGCCTGAACAACTTGATTTGGATAAATTTATCTACTTGGGAATGAGACAGTAGAAAGGTAACATCTACCTTAGCATTTTGGGATTAAATTGAATGTCTCATGGCCAGCAACAAGACTTGTAAAACTTTGGGTTTTGTTTCCAAATCCATCTGAATGAATTCAAATAGAGTTATGGTCCAGAAGTTGTACAATTATAAAAGTGGGAACTGGATGTTATGGAATGCTGTGGTGATGAGGTGGAGAAGCAGGGATATTGTTTTAAGGCAGAAATGTAGAATTTGGAAATGGATGGACATTTTGTCCAGAATTCAACATAATATTGTCATCCTGAAATTCAGGAAAAGAGAATCATTCAGATATGGGAAATGTGACTCTTTATAGGGATTTGATTGCCAGACTTCTTATGTTCTTGGGGCCTAGGGGAGGACCCAGCAAAGACAGCTGCTGTCATGCATTTGGCGGCTACAGCTGATACTGACAGAGGTGGATCAACAGGCTGGCACAGGCCAAGGAGGCTGCTTCAATATTCACATTAGGAACTGGGGTGAGAAATTAGAAAGGGAATGTTTAAGACACATGGATAGTAACAACACTAATAATTTTAAAAAGCAGCATTGCCATAACGAATCTCAAATATAAATAACTACATGCCATCTTAATATATGCTGGATGCTTATAATAACATTTTCTTTTTATTATTTGATTATCATTTATTGGGGTGACAATGGATAGTAAAATTACGTAAGTTTCAAGTGTATAATTCTGTAATACATCATCTATATATCACATTGTGTGTTTACCACCCAGGGTCAGTTCTTCCATCACCATATATTTGACCCCCTTTATCCTCTTCGGCTTTTCCCCCTCCCCCCTTACCCTCTGGTAAACTAACATTTTCGTTAGTAGGAATAACTAAACTATTGTAAAATAAAAGATGATCTATTCAGTTATTGCAGCTCTAAAATTCCATTATTCCATATATGTCAAAATTTCTTGTATGAGCTTTCTGTCTCCCATACCACCTTAGGATTGTAGAAGTGGGGAATAAAATGCCTTACTACCTCTAGTCTTTAAAGACACTATTTCTAAGTCCATAAGATTAAATATATAGAAAACCATGTAAACACAGAGACAAAACTACTACAAGAATAGTAACAAACCAATGGTAAAAAGACATTTTCAGGAAATTAAGGATATATAAATATGAAATTGTTATTAGATGATACTGAAGACTTTTGATACTGTTAATTTTGTTAGATGTGATAACGATGTGTTTATGTCAGAAAACATTAAACAGTAAACATTAGTGATGCATGCTCAAGTAGTTAAGGGTGAAGTGTCATGATATCTGTGATTTACTTTGAAATGCTTCAGCAAAAGATATAAAGCTCATATGGCAAAATATGAATGTTAAATCAAGGCGATGAGTATATAGTGGTTCATTATACCCTGTTCTCTATTCTTATATGTAAACATTTTATTATGTTTAACATGGTACAGGTAAAATAAAATCAAAAGGGGGATAAAAACTACAGATAGTTTATTGGATAAGCAAAATTAGTTGATTCTCACCACGCAGTGGTAGAAGGTATTCCAGCTAAGAACAACCCTCATTGCGAAGAGCATAGTATGGATATGGAGGCCTGTATCCTAATTTATTTAGGTCCTGCCTGCTCTAATCGTGTCACCACAGTGAGCCTCAGTTTATTTATTTATAAAATGAAAGGATTAGGTTAGTTGATTGCTTTGTCTTTCCAGTTCTGAGATGCTCTACAACAGAGACCGTGAACTCGAATGCCTACCAGTGCCAAGCAGGGAATCGAAATTGCGCTTTCCCGTCTAACGCGGGTGCCTCATCTGCCAAATAATGCCTTTTGATAATGTGGGCTCAGTGTTTCCTAGCCTTTTCCGAGGTTAGGAAGAAATACAGATTTTTATGTAAAATTAAAGATGTGTAAATGTTAAATGAAAACGTAAAGTAAAACAAAGGTGTAGGAGTGGCGCGGGAGGGACCACCAAACTGCGCTGCGAGTTTGCCATCGCTACGCAGCCCACGTCTGCAGTCAGCCAGGACTCTGCAATGGGACAGACGAGCATCGTGAGGAAGACCAGGAGATTAAAACCGACGAAGACCAACACATCCAGCAGTGATTCTAGGGAGTGAAATCTGCTTCAAAACTCAAGTCTATTTCAGCCTAAGATACTTCATCTACGGATGAAACTCAAACATCATTTGCAAAGAAAACTCAGGTTATTATTTTCGTTAGCGCTCCTCTTCCGCCGGCGATCCTGCGGCAGCTGCGTAGGGCAACGCCATTCCCGTACCCTGCGGTGGTCCCTGGCGACTGCAGGCGCCAACAATTTTACACTCTCCCGGGGCGCCTGGGGGACGATCCCGAGCTGCGCTGTGAAGGAAAGTGATGCAGGCGCTTGGCAACCCCAGCGACCCTCTGGAGGACTAAGTCGCTTCGCTCGCTCCCCGTGGTACTCAAAAGGGAAAAGTTTGCTCCGGTTCCCGCGAGCCAGTTCCCAACCGGAAGTTTTGCCTCGGGGCCTGAACGCTTCCTGTTTGGTAACTAAGGGCGCTGAACGGTTACTAGGGCCCCAGAGGCAACTACCCCGGAGCTTTGGGAGTGCCGCGCGGGTTGCCTCGGATGCTGCTCAAGAGCTAGACGAAAAGGCAGATATTTTTTCTGAACCTTATCTGACGTCCCGTTTGCCATCATGAGTAGCGAATTTCTGGCGGAACTGCATTGGGAGAATGGGTTCGCCATTCCGGTGGCAAACGAGGAGAACAAGATGCTGGAAGATCAGGTGAGGGTCAGGTGAAGAAGGAGGGGGAAGAATGGGGACCTGTTGGAAGCACTTTTTCTGGTTGGCAGGAATATTCCAATAGTTTTATTTTTCTCGTTTCCTTCCCTAATCCCATCTCTTGCCTGTCTAACGCTTCTCCACACCATCTCCTTCCTCCCTCACCTGCCCGCCCTTTTCTGTACTTGCTAAGCATTAATAATAATAATAAAATAATTATATATATGTATGTATATAGAAACGATAATTGATATTTAGGACTATAAAGCCTGAATCTTTACTTCCTGCTCTTTTCCCACTCCATGTACTGATTTCCAGACTCCTGGGCAGGAGTGGAAAAGTTGGTTCCCGCGCCCACTTTTTCCTTCCTCGGAATTATATGTAAGCGCGTTTTGCAAAGGGACTTCTGAAGTTTGTGAAGCAACAGTTATTTGCGAATGTTTATAAACGAAACACGTTTTGGTTGACATTTTTCTTTGAGTTCTGCCTATGATGTTTAAAGGTGAAAGGGACTCGAAGAAATGTTTTCAAGAGAGACATTCTAGTAAGAATGTGAAATGTGCAGTTTACAGCTTTTCAAAGCAAGGATTAAGTTGCCACAGAATATTATAAAATATTTTACACTATAAGGAATATTTTACACTAGCTTGCAACCAAAGCATAGTAGTTGTTGAAAATACGATTGCAACCAGCTCAGGAAACATTAAAAAATCTTTAGTCAGTCTAAAGTTCCATCACATAGCAATGTGTTATGCGGAAGAGAGCCCCAAAAGAACAGATGATGTTTACACTACTTTATAGAATGGAAGAGAAGGTTTTCCTCTGAAAATGAAAATCCTTTACACTTTTTTGTTTTTGAAAATATTTTTTTTCCAAAATATTCTGACCTATTTACTCATGACTAATTTAGATGGCTGCAGTTTTTGTTTTTGCTTTCAATGAAGGGCAACATTACAGAATATAAGAGATCTAGCGCTAAGTACTGAGGAATAATAGTATTAAGAAGTATCCAGCCCTGAATTCAGATTCTATTTACCTGCAGCACTGAGCCTCTTTCTTCTTCTGTATACTTGAGATAAGTAAAATAATCATCTCACAGGGTTGTTATACATCTCTAAGGACATGAGTGTAGGTTAAAGTTCCATTCAAATGTTAGGTTGTGCCATAATATTTCTCTCACAGGATGGTATATACATATTATATTAGCTATTTAAAAAATATTACAGAGCAATTAAAGGAAGAATGATGAGGACCATAATCACTTCACTAATGAATAAACTCTGACATTAAAAAAGCAATTGCTTGTAAGTTTAAGATATTCAAACAGAAAAAAAAGGGTATAAAATAAGAAATATAAGATTCCCTTCCAAAAGTATCCACTGTTGACCATAGAAGTGACTATCATGGTATAAACAAATATTCCAGACATCACAGTCTACATAGATAGAAAAGACCAACAGGAGTATTATAAAAATGGAATCCTACTATATGTGCTGTTTTTAACATAAATATGTAAATTTAATTTTACTTGTATTGAAAAGAAGAAAAAACAAGGAGTTGTTGAATTTCAGGTATTACTTGATTACAAGAGATAGTGATTGCTAAAAACTTCCTTTAACATTAAGAAAAATGACATAAGAAAAAAATGAAATGGTTAAATGATTGTTTTTTTAAAAATTACTTGTTTCAATTGTAGACAATATGGGTTGACTCCCTGCTATTTCTTCTTTTAAGTGAAATTAATGGTCTTACTCTCCTTTCCACATTCTTTTATCCCATTAAAATAGTGGTTTTATTTTTTTTATTATCAAGTTTTATTTATTCAATCCCCTTACTTTACTACAAATGTTTAGTCTTAGTTTCATACTGAAAATGATTTAATGATCCTTAATATAGCTACTTATACTCAATGTATCTTTTCTTGAATTTTTCATTTGAATTCGTCTTTTGACTGGTTGGGTTCTACCCTCAAAAGAGAGATCCGTAGTAGTGTGCTTTTAATTCCTTGCATCCTAAGTTGCCTGTCTGATTCCTTGCATTGCCTGCTTTAAGTTTATATTCCTTAAATCATAGTATCAGATCTTCAAGATACTTTCTTCCCCACTCCTTCCTTTTGGAGCCCTATGTTTTCCAAAATGGACAATTTTTCCACAGACCTATTTCCTAACTGTTAACTTGAGAATTTCCTTTTTTCCCTTAGTGGGTTCTTACTTTATTTCCTAGATCACATATCTTCTTTTTTCTTGGATTATTCCCCCCCCTTTTTTTTTTTTGGTGGAATACTTTCTGTGTCGCTCTAAGGGTATATGGGATATAAACGTTCTGAATCAGAATATGTTTTACTTTGCTCTCACATTTTATTGTAGTTTGGCTGGTTAGAACATTCTAGGTTAAAAATAATTTATCCACAGAATTTGGAAAGTATCGCCCTGTTATCTTCCACCAGTGTTTTTGGTGTGTAATTTAATATTAGAATGATTTCTATTTCTTTCTAGATTATTTTTTTAATCTCTGGAAGCTTTTAGGATTTTGTTTCATCTTTATATTGCAATTTTTATTTTGGCAAATATAACAATCATATTTTTAATTTTCAGGCTATTTTCTTGTTGCTTTTTTTGTAGCACATGATCTTGTTTTAGGAGTAAAATATCATTTCCAATCTCTCTGAGTGGGTGTGTGTGTGCACGCATATATTCCTGTGTTTAGTTCTTTTATTTTATGTCCTGAATTATCTGTTTCCTCTGGGATCTTTTTGTTTATTTATTTATCTTGATATCTCTCACATGATGTAAGTTTTTGATAAATATCTGGTGGTCCTTGCATGTACTTTTATATTTAAGAAAGAGGCAATAGAACTCTATGGTGAAAGAATTACCAACTTATGGGGAGTTAATCTTTGTGCTTTCACTAAAGAGCAGATACTTTTGTTTTGGGTTCATTATGCAATGATTAAAGCCATAATTGATGAAGAAAATAAAAGCCATTAACCTGTATGCACCAAACAACACAACAGCAAAGTATATAAGTAAAAAATATTATAAACTCAGGTAGACCTTGACAAAAATACAATTATGGTAAGATACTTCAATATTGACCTCGGAATTAGACAATTCTAATAGACAAAAATAAGGATATAAAGGATATAAAAAATACAAGAAAAAAATAAAAACAGAGAGAGCATATATCCCTTAAATAGAGAATATATACATTAAAAAATATGCCCATAAAACATTTACAAAGATGGTTCATGTGCTAGATCAAAAGGAAGATCTTAATGCATTAAAAGTGAATAATAAACCTTCAAGACAGTATGCTAAGTAAAATAAACTGGACACAAAAGGGCAACTAGTGTATCATTCCATTTATATGAGATACTTAGAATTGTCAAATTTATAGAGACACAAAATAGAATGGTGAATTCCAGGGGCTAGAGGGCAGGGGAATGGAGAGTTAGTGTTTAATGGTACAGGCTTTCAGTTTGGGAAAATGAAAATTTCCTGGAGATGGATGGTGGTGATGGCTGCACAGCAATGACCCTGCTAATGCTGCAAATCTGAGAGAGGTTTCTGTTCTGTTTTAATATGGTGCTAATTTCCCCACAGTAATCTCTAAATCGCAACAGTATTTTATAATATTTGAAAGGGCAGTAGATTTTAAAAGTTCAAATGGATATTTAAAGAAGTAAAATAAATGAAGATTTAACTTCCTTTTGATTTTACATCTTTTAATATGGTAAAGACTTAGGACTTTGGCTAATCATAGTACTTATTATTTACAGTTGTCAAAGCTGCAGAATGAAAGGTCAAGCTTGCAAGATCAGCTACGTGACTATGAAGGTCGAATTAATGCTATGACTTCTCACTTCAAAAATGTTAAGCAAGAACTCTTATTTACACAGGTATATAATGTTGAAATTCAGTTGATTATATAATGTGTAGTCATGGAACATTTCGTGGAAAGTATAATACATTTTAGAAATATTACTACAAATAATAAAAATTAAAACTTAGGGTGATTAATTAACATCTGTAAATAAACATCTGTTTTATAGACAATCTATTCATGTGTAAAACCTCATTTTGTGATGCCGCCCAGCAAAGCAGACATCTCAGTGAATCAATGTTGGAGAGTTTATTAATTCCATCCCCCACTACTTTTTTAAAAGAATGCATCTGCCTTTCTTTGAAAAAGCATGTAATTCTGAAAATTGAAGAAAGTCATGTTTTTTGTTTGTTTTTTAAGATTTTTTATTGGGGAATTGGGGGGAGGGGGATAGCATTGGGAATCGGGGAAGGGGTACAGACAGGTAGACAAGTTGTTGTTTTGTTCTTCATTATAGTTGTGGAGGATGTTGCTTCACTGGCCCAAGCTGGCACCATCATTGTGATCTTCCCGGTTGAGGCAGATCAGTCAGTGGTCTCTGGATGGCCGCTCACTGCGGCTGCGGGCCACTCACGCTGGCTGCTGGCTACACACGGTAGCTTATGGCAGCCGACTGCAGCAGGGGACTGCAGCCTACGCCGTTGCCGG